ACGATCTGCGAGTTTTTGTGTACTCTTTGTATATACGTGTGGTCTGTCATATCAATTGGTGTTTTTGGATCCATTGTGTTTACTTGTGGTTTTCGTACCTTGTTTTTATTGCGTAATTTTGTTAAAATTTTCGTCGTGATTACTTCTGAAGTTGTTTCTTGTCTTCTACATCCATGAATGAATTGATTGATGTTAGAGACAGCAGATGGGTCGTATACGCCAAAGAGGCTATGGCTGAGAATGAAATGCATACGGAGATAATGATTAGCTGTGATCCCACACGCCAGGGAGCGTGAGTGTAGACGGCTGAGGCTTGCGTACGTCACCGTTACTAGAACTGAGGCATAATGAGTGACAAGCGATTGCAGGGGTAGTTGGTAGTGAGTAGATACGAAGACGTGCTTGGAGTATCATGAGGTGGTGCTATGGTCACGTTGCATTCTGCAAGAGTCATTCTAGTAAGTGGCGATTGTGTTGCGAGATGTCAAGAGGAGGTCTCTGTCTGGAGGCGCAGGTCGTCATTGATGTGTGAGATTGTGCTGTGGGTATGCTTGTGGTGTGTTGGCTTTTCTGTTTGTTTTCCATTTCAGCTCCGTCCGAGTGACTCAGGTTCTCGCAATGGCATCCAAGTCAACGTGTATTGGTCGTGATCGAAAAAAGGGATGGATCCTTTTTTCCCGGGGAGTGTCAATGTAGTTGAAGATTGAACGATCAATTCACGGTTGTTCGCTCAAAACCAACTTCCCTAATTTTTGCGGCGGCATCAATACGACAGTCATCGTCTCATCGGTCGCTGTTCAGAAAGAAGTCTGGCCAAAACTGTCAGAAGTAATATTGTGATTTATTATTTTTTATTTGTTCACAGACCCTAGTGGAAACATTTGTTATATGTTGGATTTACAATAAAGAATTCTCGAGTGGCCAATCGGTGTTTTGGTTTTCGCGTCCGTTATTACTAAGCGTTTCTGAGAAACTTCAAGGAACAGAGTGAGCCCGAGCGTAGCAAGAGTTGGGCATTAACGGTTTACGAGTCGTGGCAGGGTGGAGCACATTATGAAATATAGGAATATTGTCTTCGCATTAACAAAAAACCCAAGTATGTTTTGGATGGGTTAAAAATACTTGGGAAAACATGAAGCTTGAAATCATTCCCCAATATAACTTAGGCGTGTACAAAACCAAATCTTATTCTTGATTTATATCCAAATTGGGTAATAATTAAAATAAGTGATACACTTGTATATTTTTGTCAGGATCTCCATCGTAACATCACGAGTGAATTGTACTCAATGTAGAATAATATTAATGATCGTATATATTTTCTTATACATGGGTCTTTCCAAGAAAAGGAAGCTATTTTTACAGATACGATCAGTTATGTTATAAGTTACAATCGTGACGTTGTATTACAAATGATACTTTTCCATTGGTATAAGAGTATATTCCACAAATGTAATCCAGGTTGCGTGGTGGGGGAAGGTAATATGTAATTCAAGAAGGAATTGTAAGATATGAGGCCGATAATTTTTGCAGATCGTTTGTCATTGTAAATGGTCAAATATCCAAATTATTCATTCTCATTCAAAAAGTCCAATGGAAGCTAAAGCGATGAGACAAAAGAGAAGACAAACAACAACAACGCAAAAGAAAGCAAGAGGAGTCCTTAAGGAGTGATTAATAAATATATACATTTATATTCTGTTCAGTAACTATAGTTGTTTTTGTGCACTAAGTAACTAGTCCCGTTATGCTAACTTTTAAATTATGTGTGAACTAATATTACTGTCCTGTGTAGAAATGTTTATCACCTAGTTTCAATTATATTAAAATTTATAATTGTGGTTTGTTGTAACTACACGTTTAATGGACTTAAAATATCTATGTAGGGTGAAAAAGAGGGTGTAAGAGTGGAACGTAGAAGTGCATTGTCATCTTTGAGCAGTCTGGTGACTGAGGAGATGAACACTGGAAGTGTGTTTGCATCGCGCACATTAGCTGGTAGTCTATTCCAAATGACTGAAAACTTATTTAAGAAGAAGTTGTACCGCACGTAAGTCTGACAGTGCTCCATAGCAGCTGGGTTGTGATGATTTCTAAGATTGTCACTGATGACAGTGGTAGGTTTAGTTATTGGCTCGGAGGAATGCAAGAGAAGATTAGTTGGCTTATAGTAAAAGATAAGGTTTAGCTTAAGGCGTCTTTTCCAGAGTGGTTCTAATCTTAGTCTTTCGCATCGCTCATGGTATTCCAGACCACTTTCTAAACCAAGAGTTCATGAGGTAAACTGCCGTTGCATTCCCCCTAATTTAAATAAATAAATAAATTTATTCCCATGATGCGGTACATGAGGGACGCCAGTTTACAGGCATCACCAATTTGTTACAGAAGTAGGACCATATTATTCAGTCACAATTTACAGTCAATAGCAAAATATGTTTAACATGTACACTGGAGATTATACATACACTTGATAAATGTTAATCCCAATAGTATAAAACATCCTTTTCGCTTATGTACAATCGTTTCTGTGCATAGTTGGAAAATTCCGCTAGATTGTCAGTGAGTGCAACACATCAGGAAATACAGAAGTATTGTCTTCGCATTAACAAAAAAACCAGGTCTTTGGTGGATGGGTTATAAGTGCCTAGGAAAAAAATAAAGCTTGAAGTCAGTTTTCATACATAATTTTGTTGGGTACAGAATTCTTGAATTATAGTTCATTGTTGTGTTATTTGGAAATCAGTGATTTGCGTATCTCATTTGATCTGCAATGTCATTGTTGGGAGCAAAATACATAAGCTTTGGACGCATTAATTAATGGATTTCTACTGCTTGTGGGTATTTACTTCTCATGAGGAGGGTTTTTGAATTTTAGTTGTTCCGACAGGAGTTGTGGATATTAACTGCTCAGTAACATTACGGATATAAGTTCATCACATTATCTTAGGAAAGTTAGGTTGTAGTTGGTGAGGTATGTATGATGCCCGACGAGCGTACATCTGTCCATGTGATGTTGTGGTGAGTTATATCTTTTTCATGTTGTCGGTTTATGTCCGTTTTATTCCACTTATTGTGTTGGGTAGAAGTTTTACAAACGAAACTTCTTGTCTGTTTGAGGGTAAGTATCTTAATCGTTAATGTTTTATCTAAAATTATAGATATAGGCAAAAACAACAGGTGTAGTATTTAAGCTTATACATTAAATGGACCTATAATTTCGGAGGCTCTCAGATAGGAACTAGGACTACTATCGTTTGCAAATTCTTGTAGTTTGTCGTTAAGCTCTTTTTTGAATGAGGTCAATGTACCTGCTTGTAATTTTGTTTGAGTCCATTAAGAATAAACGGGCAATATTCTAAGATAGGTTGGACACATACTTTGTATAACAAAATCCTAGTTTCACAACAAAAGGAACTGCGTGTTATGCATCCTATCAGCCTTCTTGTTATACATCTGGCATAATCAGTCGGTTCAGCGAACGTTAGTTTACTCGATGTGTGAGATTGTGCTGTGGGTATGCTTGTGGTGTGTTGGCTTTTCTGTTTGTTTTCCACTTGAGCTCTGTCTGTGTGACCCAGGTTCTCGCAATGGCATCTAAGTCAACGTGTATTGGTCGTGAAGGAAAAGTGGGTTGGATCCCTTTTTTCCCGGGGAGTGTCAATGTAGTTGAAGATCGAACGATCAATTCTTGGTTGTTTGCATAAAATCAACTTCCCCAATTTTTTCGTGGAGGCATCGATACACCAGTCATCGTCTCATCGGTCGCTGTTCAGAAAGAAGTCAGGCCAAAACTGTCAGAAGTAATATTGTGATTTTTTATTGTAATATTTGTTCATACACCTTAGTTAAAGCTTAATTTTAAATTTGGCTACATATTGGTGTTACAATAAAGAATTCTCGAGTGGCCAATCGGTGTTTTGGTTTTGCGTCCGTTATTACTAAGCGTTTCTGAGAAACTTCAAGGAACAGCGTGAGTCTCAGCGTAGCAAGAGTTGGGCATTAACGGTTTACGAGACGTGGCTGACAGGCTACTGATATATGTAATGCAGCTCAAGTTTCTCGGACAATTGTGAACATTTGAAACGCGCCTATTGATTTTGACTGGTGGTATCAAATAATTTCAGAAGAGAATTTTAGTTCTGAATATCAAGACTGTGCAAGTATTATTTCACTTAGACCGCTAGCATTTAGAAACTTTCGCGAAAATATGTTTTATTTGAAGTGCTCTCTTGCTAAATTGTACTTGGGGAACAAATAATAAGTTAGTTTCACGCTATTCGAAAGCGGTTTCTCAACAGGGGCAGTATGTATGGGAACTTTACATTAACGATTTTCGATCTGATCACCAAAAAGTTTTCAGGCGAAATAAGCGGTTTTGTATTTAGCACCGTTGGAACGTAGGCAGCTCAACATTATCACTTCTTATCTTTCGTCTGGATACTGGAATAACCGTGATAAACACTTTCAGCTGTGCTTGTTTAGACCACCTCAGATGAATTTAGAAAAATACCAAGAAACTTTGGTGAAGAGTGTGTATTAACGACTACGGATAGCCAGTAACTCTAGTTCATATACCAAAGGATGCTACACTGTTTGTTCTACACAGGTCAGATGTAAATAAAATCATCAAATTGACAGTAAAATTATGAAATGTAGTTCGGGATCGAAAATCTAGCGACAGGATGATTGCTCAGCCATCTAGCACTAAGGAACAAACGTAGAACGAACGTGTACCGATTTGCGTGGATCCTGATCGCTGACTTTCAGCTGAACAAATCGACTTAATTGACTAACGTTAGAAACCACTGTTTGGTGATGATTGTTGTAGGCTAATAATTTTGAGGAATCATCTACCACTACAAACCCATTCAAATGATGTTCGAAAATCCCTAGTTATTGCTTGAGAGTTTTCATACAGAACTAGGAATACCCAAGGAAAGTTTCATTAGGGGTGTTTGGACCATTACTTTTGATTCTTTTGGATTGTTTTTGAGAGCACCCGGACTTAGTTTGGTTCATAGTCTCTCTTAAATCTTATGTTGAATGCTCAGACAATTAGTTCTAAAATCGCCATGAGAGTTGAGTAACGCACAATACGATGAAAATTTGGGGAGTACCTGTAGTGTTTGTGAAAGGATTGTTAACTTGGTGATAAGGTTGTTTTAATACCTCGCTAACCAATTGTCCTTTCTAGGCGGGATTTTGACGTAAGCGTTTTTAGTATATTTTGATAACGTGACGATTATGCTCTGTTTAACATCAAGGCATTAAGAGATTTATGAAATGACAGAAAATTATCCTCGTGAAATACATATACTTAATGGTAAATATACACAAAACCCTACTACTTTTGGAGATGAAAAGAAGGAACACAACAAGTTAGCCCGAAATGTTACTATTCATTGGTGTGCACCTGAAAGGTCTTATCACGAATTATCGCGCGAGTATTCTGGTGTAGATATACGTAACAACGAGGTACAAAACGCCAATTATCTCGTTGCACAAGGTGGCCAACTAAGACCAGCAATATCAGAAGTAGAAGGCCTAGACAGATACGCCAAACAACTTATGGATGAAGTTCCTTCGCATCCAATACATAAAAACAGTCAAATGAATGTGAGTCTCATTGCATATTTGAGATTAATTCCCTTGGTGTTAAATATTATTTATTTTCGCAGCTCATGACCAATTTATATTTTTGATAGGATTAAATCTTTATATGTTTATTCAGAAATGCTTGAAAATTAGAAGAATTAAAATAATTCGTACGCCTTCGCCGCATTTAATCTTTCAGGGGATAACACCATCACTAGAAAACGTAAGTGTAGGCTTGATGGTGGACAATGCTTGCGGAATAAATTTCTGATGGCTACAGAGTTCCCGAAAAGTAACTGAGAAACATTCAAAAGACTAAAACGTTTTTGTGTTATTGCATATAAATGTCTAAAAGTCGCCATAGTGTTAGTACGTTCAGTTTCAAACGAATTCGTTCGTGACTGCATTATGGATAAGACTTTATTTTGATTAATCACAGTGTTGTACAGTAATATTAATATTACTGTGTGCGACCTGTTCACAACGCCACAGCGGTAGTTCTTGCTTCAGCATCATATGAAATTGTGTGTATGGAAGGTTTTTTATAACATGCATACGAAACTAAGTAAATTTAGCCTTCTAAGAATAAATGCACAATTATTTGATAAAAAAGGTTTCTTCTCTTTAGGCCTACATATTTCTGGCAGAATTAATCATATTTCATACAGTTCCTCACTATGGTCTGGAGCATTTAAAATCCTTACAGTAGACAAATTATTGCAGCATACAGAATTATACTACAAAGGCTTTCACTAGACTATTTTAAAGTTGGAGACAATGGAAACCTAGAATAAATCCAGGATTCACCTTGTGCATGTGTATCGGCAGCACCCAGATTCTTCCTTTTTATAAGATTACTGTAAAAGCGTCTTGTTAATCCAGTTCTATGTATACTAAAATTGCCACTGAACTTGAATAAATTCTTATGAGTCATTTGATGTTCCATATGACAAGACTTAAATAAAAAGGGTAGTTCGTGCTTTATTGAATGCAAAAAAACTTCGTTGCAGCTTATTTCAAGACCTGACTGGACGAAAAGAAGGCCAAACTACATATGTCTGGTCATTATCATGGTAGATATCAAGTGTTATTACTAAAATCATAACTTCTTGTGAATTTAAAAATTCTTTTGTTTATTTGACTTTATTAAAGCCATTTTATTTTTCGTACTCAGTATAAGCCCGGAAAACAACATCTCTTGAATATAAAACGTCAGCTACGTTTGCTGTACAGTTCGCCACCGACCGACAAGATGCTGAATGATAAGCGATTAACGATAATTGCTCTAAGCAATTGATTGTGCAGAGTTATGCTGTGTGAGGAATATCCGTTTAGTTTAGCTTAAGATAAACAGTTTGTACAGAGCTACTAGCGGTAGATAAATAATGTAAGACTTGTTAGCCTTAGCAACACTAGAAATCTAAACAGCAAATCATTATGTTTCATAGACTTTTGTTTAACCCCAGCGACAAGTACACCTGAAACAATAAAATGATGAAGTTTGAATTTTTTGCCTCGATATATGTTTAAGCCAGCTAAAGTTTTACCAACAGTTAAGCCTTTTATTGTGAAAGTTACACTGTAAATTTGGTATCACCATTGGTCGAATTTCGAAGGCGATTTCGAGTTATTTGGGCTTTGAATACGATAATAAGTTACACAACTTTTATTGGAAAAACTACAAAAATGCATTTTTACACTGGTTTTTAAGGGATTAATGCTGATGTTTCATGCATATCTGAAGCAATTTTAGTTTCATTTTCATTTCATGTGAATAAATTCAAGATTCGAACATGCCGTTTACTACTTTTAGTTTGACTGTTGTCTGTTAGACCACTATAGTTGAGCTTCTCAGACAAAATCACCACTGATTATTATACGTGTGTAAGAATATCTTGTTATACAGTGTAATTCTTTTACTCAGTTAGCCTTCTGCTTATTATTCCAGGTAGGCTACTGTTTGTTTGAATTTAATATACTCATATAAAAAAACTTCAAACAACGTAAAACAAAGCGACAAAGTAGTGGAACAACGTGCTTTGAAATTAATAGTGTTCTCTGAGCTGGTTGGTTTAGTTGCGGAGCTTTCGTCGTCCCCCTTCTGGACAACATTCCCATTCAACTCAATATTTAGCATAAAGTGAACTGATTTAAATTTTCCATGAGTGATAGAATTGCGCCTCCCGATGACCATTTTTATATGTGCACTGATCATTTGCTATTGACTTGGATTGTAAACTTTCTGATCACATGATTTACTTTTTATTAGTTGGTATATTTGGTCTATATTAACGTGTTTGTTTGTTTGAGTGCCAGGCTTCTAAGAATTCCTTGGGACATTTGGTGTTTCCCTTGTCTAGAATTTTGACATCCCAATCAACCTCATGTCCATAACTACCTACGTACATTGATAAGAAACAGGAATATGTGCATATATTGTCTTTTCACAGCTAATTTGTGTTCCTGGGTTCTCATTTGAAGGGGACGCCCACTCTGGCCTATGTAATGCCTGCTACAGTTCATACAATTTATTTTGTAGATGGTTTTTAATTCTATCTCCTTTTTCTGTTAGATCTTTCGGGTTGTATAAAATCGAATTAGACGGTTTGACTGGCTTGTGTGCTATATCTATATCAAACGGTTTCAGTATTCTAGATGTTATTTCAGAGATATTTTTCATGCATGGTAGGATGAATTTTCTTGTGGTCTTTGATGATGGTTCCTTGTTGGTGTTTTGATTCGATTTTAAACACTTTTTGATAAAACTGTGAGGATATCCATTCCTTTTGAAGACTATTAGTAGGTATTTTCCCTGCATTTGCTTCAACACAGAAGTGCTACAGTACGTCTGAACTCTTTGAAACAATGTCTGCACACAATTTCTTTTGTGGGTAATTGGGTTATTACTACTATAGCTGAATATTTGATCTGTGTGTTGGCGTTGATTTTCTATATACTTGTGCTTCTAAATTTCTTGTGTTCGTTCTCCTCCTGATTAAGACATCTGAAAGTGGGATTTCGTTATCTAATTCTTCTTCTTCTCTTGTGAATTTAATGTCTTCAAATATGTTGTTTATTAATTTATGGGTATATTCTAAATCACATTTCTCTTAATTATTACAAATGTGTCATCAACGTAACGTAACCCAACTTTTGGTTTAATTATAGGTAGAGCTATTATTTCTAATCTTTGCTCAACGGCTTCAGCTATTTATCCTGATATGGGCGATCCCATTGGTGTTCCTTTTATCTGCTCATATATTTGAGTATTGAATTGGAAGTATGTTGTAATGCATAATTTTATGAGTTCTATCCAAGTTGAACATTGCATTTTTATGTTTTCATCACTATAGAGTAATTGTTGCATAGTTTCTGTTACTAGTTTTGGACTAATTGAAGTATATAATGCTGTGACATCAAAGGACACCATTATTTTTTAATTTTGTTTTATTTCCTACCTTAGGGTTATTCATCCAAACACGAAGCCGTAAATCATACAACTACAGAATCCTATCAATCACTTAATGGGGAGTGTAGTTATAAGGTTGATCAAAAGCCTGTACAGAAAAGATCAGATGATTTGACAACGTTTGAGAAGTTATGTCAAAATTTCGCAAAAGATTCCACAAATAAAAATGAAACACGAGCTGGAAAACGTTTAGGATTTTACCGATTTGTTTTGGATATTGGTAGGGGGAATTTTTCAAAGGTGAAATTAGCTCTTCACAGTCTGGTTAACAGTAAGTTTTCTTACTGCTTGTTTTACAGAATGTGATTGTATATACATTTATAAATATTTGCATTATAAATTTACTTTTTGCATTTCAAGGCTGTGCCTTTTTAGGTGTGTGTTCAGTTCTCTTGACAACCAGTGTATATTTATCCAGTCAATAGGTATCTAATTATTATTTGAAAAACGAAACAAATTTTAAATTCAAATATATTCATTAATCTAAGTTTCGGGCAAAGTAATAGTCTATCCTAACTAAATAAAGGGTGGTATTATGTGCGCTATATTAATGCTGAGATCTTCAGGCCTTTTCTTGAGTTTTTTCTACTACAGAAATAATTCCGTTCCCACGACTAGGAATACTATTCATCTTCAAACTTTCTAAAACCAAATAAATAATTGGCTTCTTCAATGATTTTTAAGAGTTATGTTCGCTATTATATCTTTATTATTATTATTTAAGCATCTTTAATGAACTGTAGTTCCATTGTGATCTTACTTTACAAATCGATATTATTATTTAATAAACACTAATATTGTTAATAACTACTAATCTAGAATATTCTGTGTATATAAACATACAGATATCTAATTGTCCACCCGGAGGAGGAACTTATCGAAAAGAATATTCTTTGCTCGATTATCTCGTGTTTTAAGCGTTAGTCTGTAGGGATTTGATTCATTTCAAGTTAGCAAAAAAAACCCTGAGAACCAGGGAGTATATTGAACACCTGTTTCGTCCCAGTTTGGGGCTCTTCAGAAGTACACACTCACAACCTCACTGGCGATTGAACTTGAGACGTACAGCTTTGATAGGCCAAGCTGCTCGGCTCTTGCGCCATTCAGATAGGAAGGAATTCAATGACTCAGTTCTTAAAAAAAAGCCAATAGTGATGTATGTACGTGACATAACGAAAGAAAACATCAAGTCAGTAGAATAGATTTTTATACGACTAATGTGAATAGATGTACTGGCTAGTTTGATATTAATTTGATCAAAAAAAAGGAAAGACAGTGAATTTCTGCTTTAATGTATAGACCTAAGCGGAGTTTTATAATAAACTGGGAAAGTACTTGAAGTTGTGCGTAAAAGTTGTGTATTGACTAGGTTGGTGAATTAATCAAACAGCGAGAAGGCAGATGTTGTTGATATATATATATATATATTTTCTTTTTTGCCTTCTATACGTGCTAAACTATTTATTTACTTATTTGTTTATTTATTCATTCTTTCATCAAAACTGACTGCAAAGGCTTTTTCTCTAAAGAAAGACTCTATGAAATTTAGTTCACCTCAGCCTTAGCACAACACGCCCTCCTCCCCATCCCTCCATCAGAGTAGTTTCATTCGGTCAGTGAATCATCCATTTTACTCATCGAGTACAACAACAACAACAACAACAAATGCAAATTATATGTGTAATAATCTTTTTCTCGTTGTATTCACATTCTAAAACTTTATACGCTTGATTGCCTGTGGTAAATTTTGATAAATCAAGAAAGGTTATATTTGGCTGTATAGAATGACGTCATTTCATTTCAGAAGTTTCATTCACATATTTTATTTATTTCAACTGCAGTTTACCTGAAATTACAATGGTTGTAATATGGTTGGAACGATAGCTCAAGGAATGTTATAAATAAGGTCATTTAAAATCACACACATCATAACTTTTAGTTCAAGTTATCACCAGTTTATATGCATTCCAAAGCGGAAATTGGGGAGAGGAGGAAGGGCTTTGGGAGGCAAAAGCAGAAAATAAAAGCAAATGATAAACAGCATTGGCTTAAGATGGTTATGCAGCAATTCAAGGGAATTCAGTTATGACTGGTGGATGGTGACTAGCAGTAGTGGAATCTAGGAAAACACACATTTCGTCCTATTTGGGACTCGTCAGCTAACTGGTGTACCTGCATTCCCCAGTGAGCCAGTGATGATGTTCCCACCGAGGCTCGAACCCAGTGCCCATAGTTTCAAACACCAGCCAAAGCGTTATTCACTAGACCACTTGGGCCATGAGAGCCACCTTTTGTGTAACGGGTCATATTAATTATTTAATTCTATTATAGTTCATCTGACTCAATTAACTAAACATCACCAATATGGGTGATTGTGAAATCTGTGTGAAATGGCATTATTTTATGCTGTAAATTTCTTCCTCTCTTGCTTTAACAATTCTAAAAGTGTGCCTCACCCTACAGAGCGGTTACAAGTGAAAAATATGTAATAGAGCATCAAAATTTATTCGGTGTTTCGTGTCAATAAGAAATCTGAATACTACTAACAGTCGTTAATGCTGTCTACAATGATTATCATTTTCATTTTATGGTATCCAAAGAAAATTAATATACCATGAATGATTCATCAAGAACACGGAATAGCCGTTTCCCTGAGTGTAGCAGTATTTTCCTGTCAAGGTTGCCGTTCATTGTTTGGTGTATATTTGTGTAGCCATCTTTTGTTAGTTTGAATGCACTACTGAGGGGGTAATTCGCCTACAGTGTATCAGTGGTAGGACACTGGCCAACTGAGCAAGTTGTTCAGGGTTCGATTCCCAGCCAGCCGACTCACTCCTTTGCCATTACTTAGCAGGTAGTAGGGCCAGTAAGGAGGGAAGGTGGGGTGGGTGTGTGAGAGGCATAACACCACTGCTACTGAAACTTCAAGGCTCTAGCTTGAAGCTCCATGTTCCACCTGGAGCGCAAAAGAATAGTATAAAACTAAATGATGATTCGGCTACAAGACGGCAGACAAAAAGCAGACACAGGTGTATTACTATTATTATTCCCTTTAATTCCTAGAGAAACATAGGGCTTCGGCCTCACGTCTCCATTGCGTTCGGTTTTCTGCTAGCGTTTTCACCGAGCTCCAGGTCTGGCCACATGCTTTCATCTCCTCTTCACATGACCTCCTCCAAGTCATCCTTGCACTGATGACAGACACGCAGCTTCACTTACGCGTTCCACTCGAGTGATGGTCTGGCGTGTGATGTCACTTGATGGTTTCCTCAGAGTGTGGCAAATCCATCTTCACTTTCTTCCTGCCTATTTGTCGCAAACCGGTTCGTCCTGGGTTGGTTTGCTCATTGCCAGAGATCCCACCCTGTTGCTGATCTTTTCTGTCCGCCCATCTGATCTTGCGTACTATTGAGCTGTTGTTGACAGCTGTTAATAAAGGTCTGTAGTTTGTTTGAGGTGCTCTTTATGATGCACAGTGCAAGTCTCTGATCTGTATAGTAGCACTGACTTCACATTTGAGTTGAAAATCCGGATCTTATATTTGATGCTGAGTGCTATCGACCTCCAAACAGACTTGAGAGTAATGAAAGCTTGTCTTGCTTTCCCGACCCTTGCTTTGATATCCTCGTCAGCTCCGTCCACATGTAGTTGAAACGATGCTTCCCAGGTAGGTGGGTAGGTAAAGGAAGTTGTTTCTTTCAGGTTCCTCCCATTTATTCTGGCTGATTGTTATCTGTTGTCTGTTGTTGTTGCTGTTGTTGTTGGTATTGGCCAGGAATCTTCATCACCTGGGTCTGTTTTCTCTATGTTCACTTGAAGGAAGTCCTATCTTCTGTGGAAGCTTGTTCTGCCAATTTGTTGCTTTTGACTTGCATATCTTCCAGTTTGTGGGAAATCAGACATATATACCACATCGGGGAAGTCCAGATCCTGCAAGTTCTTTTTTGTATGTTTCCTCATTTCCCGTTGTCTGTCGCATTATCCAGTCCACTGCAATCAGGAAAATCATTGGCGATAGTAGGCAGCCTTGCCTCGCTCCCGTCCTTACGTAGAAGGCTTGCGTAAATTTCCCCTTGTGGATTACTTGTCATGCATCACTGCCGTATAACTGTTGGATGAGATGTATAACTGTTGGTGGCACCCCGTAGTAGCGAAGCAGTTGCCAAATGACCTCTCGATCGACGCTGTCGAAGGCCTTTTCAAATGCGATGAAATCGAGATAGAGAGCTGACTGACTGCCATTCCAAACTGTGTTTAATGATGATCCGTAGTGTTGCGATTTCATCAATACATGACTTGTTTCTCTTGAATCCAGCTTGTTCCAGGGCTTAGTATTTTGCTTGGGATGGACAGGAGCATAATGCCACACCAGTTCTTGCATTGACATAAGTCTCCTTTCTTTGTCAGTTTGAATAAAGAAATAGTCATAAAAAATTGAAATAAGCAGTTGTGATGATGATGACGATTACGATGATGCTATCGACATAACCGTCGTTGTTATCAATAACTTTTTTAAATTATACGGATTTATATATCATATATGTTTATGTATATGGTGGTAGATTAGGTCAATTTGTTCAGCTTACGTTGCTGCCAAGCCTAGTGTAGATGTAATCGAACTGTATTGCTAGATGGATAGATAGAAATAAGGTTAAGTTGAGTCTTTCTTGTCTTTAATTCTTTCATAACAAAAATGAATCAGCCGTTTAATAATTTCGTGATCGATAAATTTATCAAAATATTTACATACAATACGCTTAATATACTATGTATTATATCAAATTACTGTAATACCAATGTATAGAATTATATATATATATATATATATATATATATATATGGTTAGTACTTAAGTATCCAATTTCAGCTTAACACACCAAAACATTCATCCTTCATATTTACTTAAAGTGTGTATGAGAGTAACAATTAATTACTTCTATGGCCCACAATGATGTCACTTATAGAGTATTATATATATATATATATATATATATATATATATATATATGAAGAGAGTTTTTAAGTAATGACTGCACCATATCCAATTATTTTTTTTACACAATGAAATTTACATTGCTTCAAGTTTTCAAGTGATTACCAATTATTTTTATTTACTCAATGCAAACAACGGGAAGTAAAATATATAATTGAATCAGAATCCAGTCAAATAACCAACAATCTACTAGGGCTATATATATATGGCCTGACGCGCGCGTGATGTCACCCAGCGGTGGCCTCCTCAGCGAGCGAGTGTCCAATCCAACTCCACTGTCTTCTACATATTTGTTGGTTGGGCGATTGGTTCTTGTTTTGTTTAGTGTGTTCCCATAGTTTCTTGTTGTTGATTCTTTCCGGCCCGGCCGGCCATCTGATCTTCAGTATAGTGCCAGCGAAGACAGTTGGTTGTTGATAAAGGTCTTCAACAAGCTGTTGGAAATATTCTTTGTGACCCACCCGCCAAGTTTCTGATCCGTATAGAAGAACTGACTGACTTGACGTTTGTATTGAAAATCCGAGTGAATTTTGTTGTTGATGCTGGCTGAGTGACGAAGATTTCCAGATTGGTTTGAGGTTGATGAATGAATGTGTTTCTTGCTCACCTTCACGACTCTCGCTCGATTTGACATCCTCGTCCGTTCTGACTGCCTGTAGTTGAGACAATGCTCCCTAGATAAGTGAGTGAATGAAGTAACCTCTTTCAAATCCCTCTCGTTGATGGTGATTGACGCTGGATGTTTCTGTTGTTGTTGTTGTTGGCTGGTTGGTTATTTTCATAACCTCCGTCTTGTCTATGTTCACCTGGAGTCGTGTCTTCGCCGACTGTTTCTTCGACCAGTTTGTCGGTCGGTTTTCGCTTGTAAGTCTTCGATCCGCGAAATCCAGGTCTTCTAGGTTCTTCACATCTGTCCAGGATATTCCTTCCTGTCTTCTCGTTTCCCACTGTCTGATGCATAATCCAGTCCACCACCACAATTAGGAATATCATCGTGGGTGATGATGAGCACCCTTGTCTGACTCCTGTGTTTACTCCAATCGCGTCGCTGACTTTTCCGTTGTGGATCAGTTGACATGTTCCGTTGTGGTACAGCTGCTGAATACGACAAATGAAATGCAATATGCCAGTGATTTCAATCACATTTTAGATTTCGCCTCTTCCATGTGGATCTACCAATTTAACTGCTCCTGTGGAGTGAGCCATTTACTTGCATAGGCAGTACAATTAGGAGTATTTCTCTTCGGAATTCCGAGCATCACCCTGCATGCACAGTGGTTGGTTAAGTAAAGGACAAACAAAATCTATTTATTCGTAGCGCTATTCTATCTCAGTCATCTTGTGGACACAGAACACAAGATTGATATTAACGAGGCGGCTTTCAAAGTCATTTTGCCGCAACCCAACAAATCTTAACTTCCCCTTAAGAGTTCGTTCACTAAATATTGCTGAGTCTGGCCGTTGGGATCCACATTAAGAAGCCTAATTTATGTGTCCTAAAGAAGCTAGTTCAGACGTTGTCCTTACCTTGGCCATCTAGGTTCGAATGATCCTCAGTTGTTTTGTAGAAATTTCATGAACTTTAGTTGATATTCTATTTGCTACTATATCTTTATTATTATTATAATTTATGCAACTTTAATGAACTGTAATTCCATTGTGCTCCTACTTTACAAATCGATAGTATTTAAAAAACACCAATATTGTTATTAACTTCTATTCTAGAATATTCTATGTATATAAACATATGTGTATAATTTTAGAGCCAGAAGAGGAGGGAATTATCGAAAAGGATATTCTTTGCTAAATTATTTTGCTTTTTATACATTTTAAACTGTCAATCCTTTAAATAATCGATAGTGTGACGACTACTCAGCTATTCATTTGTCTAGTGTATTTATTCAGGATATTTTGGAAAGAAAGTTATTTAAAAAATAAAAAAGCAACAACTAAAAAGTAGGAGTGTAAATGCAGTTATTTGTGATCATGATCAAATGACACCCACTAAAAATACACATGTAATAAAAGGGTAAACTGTAGTCTTTATCTGCTGATATATAGACAAAGCCCTCACAGGTTTGATCAATAGCTAATATCAATTAGAGAACTATTAGAAAACCGACAACTGGCCCTATACAGTAAGTTACGTGTAGTTTCAAGGAGAAATCGCAACCCGCAGAGGCCATCAAGTCAGCTAAGAGAACAGTCACTCCTCCATCACATTCACTAGCGATTGCGCTATATTCGCTATATCGTGAATTGGTAGATGTTATAATTCATTGGCTGGTCATTGAATCGAGTCCCAGTAGCTGCTAACAGTGCTTTAGGAACTCGTCTCGTTACCTCCAGGTCATGGGTTCAAACGCCAGTTGGCGTGTACCACTGAAGACTCATGAAGTAGGGCAAAACAGTTTCCCAGTAGTCACTGCTGATTTCCCAAGGCTTCTCTAACCGATGTCAACACGATGTCACGTGACCTGTATTCAATCAAATCCCTGCAAATCAAAAGTTGAAGAAATCCTTACAGGCATAACTTATATGTGTAGTAGCGTCATATCTAAATTATTGGAAAATAGAAGGTAGTTATACATAATAAATGGCAAAATACTAAACACTAAAATTCTGAGTAAACCCAATCTACGTTAAGTAGGATTGAACTACTTTCATGTGTTTTACTTGAACTGTTTTCAAAAGACTGATCAGGGGACGAAGAACAATCTTCTCGATAATTACGCTATCTGTTTCTACAGTTTTATACATCCATTTTAGTCAAAGAATAATAATTATCACTGTTATGAATTTTTTGTATTGTATTCCTTTACGTTGCCAGTGAAACACAAGGGGCTTCAAGCTAGAACTGTGAAGTTTCAGTAATAGTGGTGGTGTTTTAATTTTACCGAGGTGTGGTTGTTGGCCTGATGTCCAACATTCCCTGTTTACTGGTCTGATTACTGGTTTGGAGAAGTTTAGGATTGCGTCGGTGGCCGGAGATAGGACTCTGGAACACCTGCGTGGTTGATAAAATTATTATTCACAACGTAAATATTTTTAAATAACACTCGGATACGTAAAATCACAACATACGTATGTATAGATGTGAAAATCATGTACATTAAGAATAATAATAAATATAAATTTATAAATTGAAAGATTCTGCAGGAGGCCAATATAGCTATGGTGGGTGGACTTATTTATTTTGTACACAGAATTCCGGTTGTTTTAAGAAAACTGATATATGGCTCCTTTTGTTCAGGGTATTCGGTACTAAGTAAACTAATAACTAACCATTTAGGGAAATCTATTTAGAGAACTTCTATTGTCTGTGAAGCGCGGCCTAGAAATTTACGTACTATATATATATATATATATATATATATATATATGACTCGTCTGATATTCAATTTACTGTCTAATCGATGCGCACATGTCTTCATTTTAGTAATTCGGTGTTATATAAAAACGCTGGTGTTGTCAACAACAGTTATTCTTTAACTACTACGGACGTAAATAACTGAAGAACCTGATGAAGAATACTCCTCATTCACCTATAAGTCTTTTGAAGTTTATAACTAGCAATCATAGGAGTTGCACAGTGGAGGTGTACTGCACTCATAGCCTATAGGTCCATGGATGACAAAGTACTTTATGCTAAGAGTACATCGATGGTTCACTGCTAGGATACTAACTGGTCAACCAAGCGAGTTCAATCTCTGACCGACGCACTGCTCAACCCCAACCAAATCAGCAGTAAGCTTGACAGTAGAAATAACACTACCACTACTACTGAACCTTCAAACCGGTAACTCGAAGACGTGTATGTTTCACTAGGAACTCAAAGGAATAAAATTTCACACTGAGTTAGGATTGTTTTATTTTTCATTATATTTCCCGATATATTTAAAGAGTGGCCGCCGATTCATTAGAAAAAGTAGGTTACAGCAGGTCTAAGATGAGACAGTAACTCATCAAAAGACACATTGTGAAATGGTAGCGCTATGTCGTGAATTTGCAGAAGTTAGAATTTACAGCGTGTCCACTGGATCGGGTCCTAGTGACTCAATGGTATACGAGCTCGCTCGCCTTGTAACCAGAAGGTCCTGGGTTCGAACCTTCGTGGTGGGTGCGTACCTATGAAGAGTCCCAAACTAGGTTAACAGAAACAGATGTCCAGTATTCCCACTTGGTTTTCTAGTGATTCTGTAATTTATGTCAGCTCATGATGAAATCCTCCGTGCAATCATTAGAAAAACTCATATAATAATAACAACAATTTTGGATTTTATTTAAGCGCTTATTTGTGAATGCAGTTCCCTTGGTGATTTTATTCAATGCATTATGTATAAAGACAATGAACTACAGTTTAGAAGTAGCTGGTTTCCTATAAAATGACAATACTAATAATTAAAATAATAGTATATCTACAATACAAAAGTATTTTTGTTCTTTCAAACAAAAAATTCAAAATTTCTAAGGTGATGTGGACACACATTAAGACCAAATTAGGACAAAAGCACATATTTATGCAGAATGATAAGAATTTTAATTGTTTACAGGATTTCGTCATGAGCTGATAGTAGTTAGAGAACCATTGGAAAATCGCCCTATGTCGTGAAGCGCCAGAAGTTAGAATTCATGCCTTGGCCATTGAGTCGGGTCCCAGTGACTTAATGGTCTACGAGCTAGCTCGCCTTGTAACCAGAAGGTCCTGGGACCGAACATCGGTGGCTGCGTACTGATGAAGAGTCCCAAACTAGGCCAATGGAAACAGCTGTCCAGTGCTCCCAGCTGGTTTTCCAATGGTTCTCTAACCAATGTCAGCTCATGATGAAATCCTGTAACCAATCAACCGAATCCCTAGAAACCAACATCTGAATTTCACGTTTCTTGGAGCGTATATTACTCACATCTCTAGCTGATGTGTTACACAACCGCATGAAATCGATTTAAAGTCAGTTAATTATTCATGCTGTGGGTAATCTTTTTCTTTTTAAAACTCATAAACCCTTGAAAATAGACAATGATATCAATTTCTTACTTTTGTTTTAAGTCTTTAAATTGGTTCTGGGAAAAAAAATAACTTAATTTAAGTGTGTCCGACAAACTTGAGATGGTGAGTAAAATGGTCTCTGTATTACTTTATATATATGTATATTTTTAATCGATACCATAATGATTATTGTTTAATCTGATGACGACAATTTCACCGACATAAATTTTAGACATGCATGTGAATGATATACTTCAGTGTATCTGGTTCATTCAAACTAGGTAGTATTCAGAGGGTATGATAACAAAAAAAGGGGAATTTTGAAGGTATCCACTGAAAATAAAAAAACAACTTATTTCCAATGACTCGATCGATACACGACTAACACATCAAAATGATAGCAAGTGTGCAGAGTTGAAGATGAGAAGTGTATTCATTGTTCATTCAGATTGTATGACAAATCAATCGTCAAGCTGCTAAGTTCTCTGACATTCTCTGCCATTAACTTGAATTAATAAAACTCATCTTAGATTGATAATTCGTCTAGAAAAATTCTTTTATTTCTAACCATAAGAGAAGTTCAACCAGATTGAGTTGTGTCACATGGGAATAAAAAATAACGCAGTTGACATAATGTTGTAACTGTTGGCCTGACCTTAGAAACAATTTTATTTTGACTTTCTCAAAATTCGTAATTGTTCACTTACTAACTACTCTGTCTGACTCCATATCAGCAAAATAAATGCTCATAAACTAGCCGAAAAATGCTAATACCATCAGAAAATTCAAATAGTAAGTTTCTGATAACCATCACGTAACACAGAAAATATGAATCGTCTAAAAAACTAAAATAACACACTGAGTAAATAAATATACTGAATGACGTAATATTGAGTATAAGCGAGGAGGATGTAGGTCACTGAAAAACAAACTTGCTTCTTAGTATTAGTTTGTGTGCACTTGAATAGGCTAGAAGAGAGGCAGTTGAATTATGAGTTGAACGTTTTCTTCAAGTAGTTGCTTTCATGTGATTTTGTATTAAGTGCATAGAATAAATAATGCTGTAATCACATATTTTCTTACAGGATAGGGTTGCTAGCTTCACGTGAGCCCAACCTTCCCTCTTTACCAGTCTTATTGATGGTTCGAGGATGTAAAGCAGTGCATCGGTGGCCGGGGATCGAACTCTAGACCACATACTTCGTCATCGAGCACTCTACCGCTGTGCCACCGACGCAACAGGATTAACAATAACTACGTATTAAGTTTTAAGACAAAATCTGGTACATTACAGGTTCAATGACTGAACTACACACAGAACTTTGTTCAGGTATTTTTTTTAATTTTAATTTTTATTCGTTCTAACTGTTATATTTTTACTCCTTATGATACTGATCTTAACTTGACCCTCTCTCAATCTTTTCTGACTTGTACTCAATGGTGTCAATTGTCATATCACTCAGTGTACTCATTTAGTGTTATTTTAGTTTCTTGATGATTCATATTTTCTGTGTTACGTAATGGTTATCAATAGCCTACTGTTTGAGTTTACTGATGGTATTAGCATTTTTCGGCTAGTTTATGACCATTTATTTTGTTGGTATAAGTCAGAGTAGTAGGCTGACAATGATGCATCCTCAGGAAGTCATAATTTAATCAAGCAACTTATTGAATCGTTCTTTGAGACAGAATAACAACTGCCAGTATACTATTCATGTGTTATTTAGCAAAGCTGTTGGAACCTATTTTACTGTCAGACAGAAAGATCCAGGTCCAAAGGTTCCTGAGTTCGAACCCTGGAGGTGCGTGCGCACTGCCGAAGAGTTGCGAACTAGCGCAACAGTTGCTGCTTAATGGTTTACGACCGAAAGGTCGTGTATTCGAACTCCTGTGGTGGGTGGGTGCTGTCGATTACTCCCAAAAAATAAGATGAAACAGCTGTCCAGTACTCCCAGCTGGTTTTCCAATGGTCCTTTAATTGTTGTCAGCACATGATGAAAGCCTCCAACTGTGGTCTTCGCAGATCGCTCTTCTCTTTCGTTTTTCAATTCTCTCTAAGTCTACCGGTGAATCATGTCTGGCCGTGGTGTCGCTGCCTACCGACAAATGGAAAGCCTATGCCCTGCAGTTTTTGATGGGGACATATAAATCTTCGGGCAGGACTTCAAGGCTTCTGCGCAGTTGAGTGGCGTTCAAGATCTGTCAGCGATGGAGCTGCTACTTGGAACGCTGCTGGGGGGTCGGGCGAGAGCAGCATATGAAAGTGTGAGCCGAAATACCGACGAATGTTCGACAGGGTCAGGTAAACAGTTTCCAAAGTGGGAGGGACCACATGTGGTCACGTCGAGATGAGGTTACGCAGACACAGTCGCAATGGCGAACAATGAGAGGCGCGTGAACGTCAGCGAGATCCAGAAATGGATACAGCGAGTCAAGCCAACGATGACGTCCGCACCAAGAAGATCAAGCTGACTTCGGTCGCAAGTCTTTGACGGGGGGACGAGTGTGGTGAGAGCAGCCTGCTAGCCAATTGGTTGACATTAATCTACGTCAATGCCTAAGTCACTTATATGGGCCGTGAGAAAATATGAACAAGGCTGTTTCAACAACCAATCACAGCAAACGTAGACGTGGGCAAATATGACTCGCAGATAGATGGCTCCACTTTCTGAGGAACTCGAAAACAACCAATCAGAAGACTGCGTTTGTCTATTTGACTAGGATATAATAATGTATGTGAAATTTATATGAATACGTGTTGATTTCCGTAATAAAACGATCTGTTGCCTGGCCCTTGTCTTCTGTTGTTACACAACCAACCAAACACAATCCTTACATAACCAATACTTGAAAATATTTAATTTTAACTTAAACAGATGTTAAATGAACTGCTCCACTGCCACTATTCTGTAGTGTTTATGGATAGGGAAAATAAAAAATAGTGAATCTTATGAGAATGTGAGAACATTTCAACTGAGGCCAACTTTTCACTTGATCTTCAGTACGACTTCTTGTAGTGTTAATTGAGAATGAAAAATAACCTTAAAAACTGGTCAGCTTCTTTGAAGTGGATAATATATTTTCCACTTTTCTGAATTGATTATTTCCAGTTTTGTTAGAGTAACAGTGATGTTTATTTGGGAAAAGTTGTCGTGCTTGAAGACAATTATTATTATTGTTCCTTTGGGTTCCTAGTAGAACATACAGCTTCAACTGCACGTCGCCACTTACTTCTGTCTTCTGCTGTACTTTTCAACTGCATCCATGTTGGTCCATACTGTTTCAACCCCTCTCTCTTCACACGATCTCCTCCATGTCACCCTTGCACTGACGTCCCACTCGCCGCGTGCTTCCCTTCCGGTTAACACTCGAGCAGTAGCCTGACGCGCGCGTGATGTCACCCAGCGGTGGCCCCCTCAGCGAGCGAGTGTCCAATCCATCTCCACTGTCTCCTACATATTTGTTGGTTGGGCGATTGGTTCTTGTTTTGTTTAGTGTGTTCCCATAGTTTCTTGTTGTTGATTCTTTCCGGCCCGGCCGGCCATGTGATCTTCAGTATAGAGCCAGCGAAGACAGTTGGTTGTTGATAAAGGTCTTCAACAAGCTGTTGGAAATATTCTTTGTGACCCACCCGCCAAGTTTCTGATCCGTATAGAAGAACTGACTGACTTGACGTTTGTATTGAAAATCCGAGTGAATTTTGTTGTTGATGCTGGCTGAGTGACGAAGATTTCCAGATTGGTTTGAGGTTGATGAATGAATGTGTTTCTTGCTCACCTTCACGACTCTCGCTCGATTTGACATCCTCGTCCGTTCTGACTGCCTGTAGTTGAGACAATGCTCCCTAGATAAGTGAGTGAATGAAGTGACCTCTTTTAAATCCCTCTCGTTGATGGTGATTGACGCTGGATGTTTCTGTTGTTGTTGTTGTTGGCTGGTTGGCAATTTTCATAACCTCCGTCTTGTTCACCTATGTTCACCTGGAGTCGTGTCTTCGCCGGCTGCTTCTCCGGCTAGTTTGTCGATTTTCGCTTGTAAGTCTTCGATTTTGTGTGTGTGACATCAAACATAAATTACCCACGCGCGAAATCCAGGTCTTCTGTGTTCTTCACGTAGGTTCAGTACCTCCCTGTCTTCTGGTTTCCCACTGTCTGACGCCTAATCTAGTCGGTCCACCACAATTAGGAATATCATCGTGGGTGATAATAAGCACCCTTCTCATGAAGACAATACTAGAATTTTATCTTGCCTCAGTGTAAGTAACACAATATTTACAAGTGTGTGTGTGTGTGTACTACTGATTTAATCGCAATCAATATACTTTAAGTTCCTGTGGATTGCATTCAGAGGTAGGTTAGAACTTCTGTACAAAAAAATTTAGTGTCGGTTGTTTAGTGAAATTGATGAGAATCAGTTCACAAGGAGACAAGATGTGATTAGTTCAGTATAATCACCTATGTTATCAGATCTATAGGTGTGCTGAAAGAAAGGGAGAAAACAAGTGTAAATATCAAGTTGGGTGTCTTGAGGAGGATCTGAGACATTGTTTAAATCTACAAACAGTCATTTCCACAGAAAGATAAGAAAAATTATTTGTTTAAAGTTTATCACGGATTGATATCGGTTAAAGAACGATTGAAAACGATCACTGGAGTACCGGACAGCAGTTTAATCATAACCTTTGCGAATCATCGGCAGTACGCACCCACCATACGGGTTCGAAACTAGGACCTTCTGATTACAAGGCAAGCTAGCTTGTAGACTCTATCCAATGGCCAACCGATGAATTCTAACCTCTACCAATTCAAAACATAGCGCGACTTCTAGCCAGCTCAGCTCATGATGAAATCATGTAACCAATCAACCAAATCCCTACAAACCCACACTTAAATATTTCTATTTAACTTTAAGTAATAAACTGGTAATAGTGGAAATTTTGTCTGTGACAAAGGTGATCCGAAACTTCTTATACATATCTTGAAATACTTAAACTACTACTACTACTACTAATAATAAAGCTCAAAATAACAACTAATCAGGATGTCAAACTCCTTTGCTTTTGGTTATACAAAAGCTGTTAATCAACTTCTCACGAAGTTATACACTTGAACAGCAAAATCGTT